TGTGTGCCTCCTTTCATCCAAAAGCATGGCATCAGTCGCTATTTTGTTTAAAGTCACCGCTCTGTTCAAAGAGTTGGACCAAAATATCCTCTGAGAAAAAACAACTAACCAGAATAATTTTGGTGCTGAACAAGGCTTTTTTCCAGCACAGAGAAGCACTCTCTCACAATGAGGGAGAGATGACTGAGAGAATCAAGGATCAAAGTATAGATCCATGGAAAAGAGGGCCGCCAGAGATGAAGCACACCAGGAACCTGTCCTCTAATTTCAAAAAGTGACTGTAAAAAAATGTAAAGGTCTCCAAACAGATAGATGCATTAATGGGTTGCGACAAGTCAGAATTTGGCCCTGAAGCTGAGATTGTCAAGAAATGCAGAAGTCTTGAAAAGGACAAGTCAACACTGTAAACATTAAGCACCTCATATGTCTTTATCAAACATCTGAAGCACTAAAAGAAGGTTTTGCTTTTGTGCAGCTAATTTGTTACCATGCCTTGACATTCATATTAGTTTTACAAAATATATTAAAATTGTAGTAGTTGAACTCCTTTTTTAAACATCACCCTTGTCACTCTGTTTCTGTTGATCCTCTCCTAAGGTGCATCATAAAAGAAATCAACCTAAAGCAGTTAAGATTTTAGCAACACGTGTTAGCAACTAAATACAAAAAAATTGCCTTGAATGTATTGTATCTCCAGCAGGTTTTCTGAACTTCTTGAAAACCTGATCACTTTAGTTGCCTTAATGCATGAAAAAATTAACCTTTTCCTGAACCTTATACTGCAGGTTCACTAAATATGATGCTGCATCATAAGTACCGTAAATCAAAACTAAGTCCACATTCATTTTAGTCAAACTAGTGTTCACTTGCCACTTTACAAAACATGCAGAAATATGTATTTGGTGCATGGGCCTGCCGAGAATAAAGTATCACCTCTTTCCTTTGCAGCACACTTTGGAGCAAAGGAATACTAACAAAGTGCTACAGACAGATATTGTGCCTGAGGCCCAATGCACAAAGGCCAAAAAGGAGAGAAATTGAGTGCAGTTTCCTTGACTCTTGTAGGTTTGCTGAGCTCTTTTCTGATCTAGTTTTATAGAAAAAGAGGGTTTTGGATGAGTATTATTTTTTTAGATAAGAGATTAATTGTGATTGAGCACTTTGCAATTAGCTCACTGAGAAGTGCTTCTCTGTGTTACAGTTTTTAAAAACCTGAAGAATGTTTCACATGAATTTTTATCTCTACTGTTTGTTTATTCAGTGAAATAGACTCCATCACTGTTGCATTGTTGATCTCCTGGTCACTTTAGTTAATAGAGCTAATTTGAAATCTAAAGAAGTTTATGTCTATTAAGCAGACTTGTTGCATCAGCCTCGTACTTTTAAAATCAAGGTATTGTCATTTCTTCTCCTTATCATTTGCTAAATTTCAACATCTTCATTTTATATCTTCTTTTTCCTTGACTTCTTTCTTGTGTCTGTTATCTATCATATGATGGCAGTATTGACTTAAGCTACGTCTTTGTACAAGTACCAGCAGAAAAGCTCCTACCATTACGACAATCCTCTCATCACAAAAGAGGTTGTGGAACGGTCCATTACTCCTGATCTCTCTTAAATTATCATTTCTGCTCATCTGTCTCTTGTATTCACCGTTCAGGAGAGAGAAACTGCTGCAGACTGAACCCCCAAGAAACTGTCATCTTTTACTTGCTCCCTGCTTAATTTTCTGTTCACGTAATGCTGAAACAGTCAGTCAAAAGTACTTTAATGGAAAGAGGCCGATCCAGCACTTCCTTAAAAAAAGAGGTTGAGCTGGCTTTGAAGACATTTTACCTTTTATGTTTAACATTATTTCAGGCTCTTATATTCTTGAAATCCTGGGACTAATGAAAAAACATTTATGAAGATGTCAGTTTTGTTCTATAAGTTCTGTAACTTCATCAATAGGTCTACTGTTTTAATGGACCCAGTAGCACCAGCATAAACACTGAAGGAGGCCAAGATGCGCCACTTATCTAAAATAGTCTCTTGTGTGTGTGATGGGGCCGTAAAACTATAATGCCTTTCAGCATTTCAGTTTCTGGTCTCGATCATAAATGGCATTTGGAATATTAAATAATACAACAGCTGAAGATGATTTTTGTTGGGCGCTGATGCTAAACAGCAAACCAATGTTCTGTACAGCAGACATTGGGACAATCGTCCTTCTCTGCTTCAGTGTGCTACTGCTACACCATTTTATAGCCTTGCCACCGTAAATGGTTGCTATGGATAGTGATGTGCTGTTTTACGTAGCAATATCACATCTTGCAAAGGTTTAGTTTGCATTTCTGCTTATTAAGAAATCTGGTTAAATGGTTCCTCTTTGACAAACATCAATAAATTGCCAGATTCTGAGTAAATAAGGACAATGAAACAGCTAGCAAAGGTTTAGGTACTTTCTCAGTACATGATGAATTCAAACATGTTGACTGTCTGCTAAACAGAGAGATTGTAGAGAGGAGCGATCCATAAATCACCTTACATATGCACTGCAGTTATATGCTTTTATATGTCAGTTTCATCTTCTTCTTTTCTTTTAGCATCTTTGCTAAAGTTAGTATTACTGCTTGAAATTAAAGAACAAAATTAAATTCAAAGCAAAGTTATTGAGCTATTAAAAACCCAGAGATCTTAGAATATCAAATGCTGCATCTCACATTCCTCAGTGTGAGAGTGAGCAAAAAGTAGTGAAAACATTTTAGTGATATATATTATAAACCTCTAAAGAGTAGCAACTGCTACCTGAACCTAGAGCTTAATGATCACACATGAAAGGCTTCTCAGGATATTTAGTCAATATTCCATGCAGATGGAAATGAAAAGAGATGGACTCTTCTACAAAAGCTACCAGCTGGAGAATGATTAATGCTAACATTTACCTGGTCTGGATCTCAGATCGCACTTCAAAATGGTCTAATTTGTTTTAACTTGTTACCAGTTTTTAAGATTCATTGGACAAACAAAACCGTATCCAGGGATCTGCTTTCAGATAGCCAGGACTATCAGAAAAGCAACTCAAGGATTTGTGCCTCTTTTTTTTATAGTGTCAGTAAGATAAACTTTCAGTTATAGCTTTAGCCACGTATCAAGTGCTCTGAATTTCAAATAGCATATTTTCAGGCTACATAAAACTGTCAGTAACCTATTCATTCATAGTGCATATATTTAGTGGCACTCTGTAATTTTTCCTTGACATTGTAAAAGTATTATTGCTACTGCTACTACCAAGTTAACCTGACTGATAACTGTTGTTTATAGCTGTATTATGGCAAAATTGTTCAAGTTCACTGGAATCAGTTTTGGCTCGGACCTTTAAATTGTCTATAATATTTCCTTTTCTTCAAGACCAATGATTATATCTTTGGAAATTGTGATACAAGCAGGATTGTGATTTCACTGCAAAAGAAAAAAAAATCTTTATTTTTTTTCTATATTACTTAGCCTCCTCTAGGAGACAGTAGACTTCATTAGTATTTTTCAAAATGGTTCTCATATTTGACTTCAGTTTGGGTGATCATGTTAATTTGAATCCTTTTTAGACTGAAATGCTTTGTGGAGCATAAATAATAATGCAAAACTAGATCTATTGGCATAAACCTTGTCAAGCACAACTATTCTTTATGGCATCAATAGGTAGGATTTTGTCAACAACACTCGTGTTGTTATTTTACAGTCGGACGGTTGTACAGATGCTGAACTGACTGATACAGTACAGAAGTGATCGTCCGCATTTGTGATGAGAGCGGGTGAATTGTGTCTCTAAGCAACTTTACTGATTGTTGTGTGATCACTCCAGCAGCCCGAGCTGTGGCTCACTTTGATGTTCCAGGACAATAGTGTTGTGACAGCACATGTTGACCTCATATCTGGGTCACAGTTCCAATATGTGGATAACAGCATTACAGTTGAGTTGGCTGACTGTCGAAGAAGCTGGAGTTGGAGTCGACCTTCCTCTCATGAGGTTTTTCGAGATCTGTTGGGTCCCAGGGAAATTAATGTTGTTGGCTTAAAAATGTATATCATACTGATTATTTTAACCGTAATGAAATGCTTGACATATGTAACCAGTATTCTGAAATGTCGAACTTTGAGATGTGTAATCAGTAAGGAAACATTTTTTAAATGTATAATCAGTATTTTGTGATTAACTTTGTCTTGTGTAATCTGTATGTTGTAATGATTGTTGTTGGTTAAAGAGCTGATAGCAGTTGATCTTAGAGCACAGGTTAAGAGTTCAGAAGTGGTAACAGCGGCAAAGGGGAGAAAAGGAAGTGAGACTGAAGTGATCTGAACAGAAACAAAGCCTGAGCAGGTGAACCTCAGCCTAAAAAAGGAACTGAGACCAGCGCGACAATGGAATGAGGCAGACTATGATGTGAGTGTGACCCTTGAGCATCCGGTCAGGATGCTTAAAAGTCTGTCGCACAAGGAGAAACGTGGTTTTTCCTTCAGTGAGGATTGTTCTGTCATCTAGATGGATCAGCGACTCCTTGGATCTACGCAGAGGGGGTCCTCTGAACTGTGGGACTGCAGCAGAGCACCTGTACATGAATGAGGAAATTCCTCACTTGCCAACACCTGCAGCTCTGGATTAAGCCCCCTCTGGCATCTGAAAGCCCACTGAGACTCAGCTCTTCCTGGGAACCGAGTCCCTCTTTGTCCATCGGGACTTATCCTATACCAACGGACTTTGCTGGAGCTTGTGGTTCAGTTCTCCATCTCACAAATTGTTGAGATGTGTGTCACCCTATAGAGTTCTCCAATAGGTGTAATTAATCATAGTGTTCATATGACATAACCGATATAACTTGTACCTCAGAAGAGTTTTTTTACTCATACAGTCGCAGAGAATATACCTTCCCTGCAACTTGAAACTCAAGATGCAAAAACCTAACCTGGGAAAACATTAAGAACAAGTTTTGCAAATGAGGAGAACAAACGTTAACAGGTGTCACCTGAGGGACTTGGTTGGCTAGTCGACTGATCCACAGGAGGAAGAGGAGGAACATCTGGAAGAAGGTTGATAGACCCAGGCGAATCTCCTCCAGGTGATTCCAGCTGAAAAGCTCTGAGTGAGCGCAGCCCTGGACCTTAGCTGGATGATGCACTGACTCCTGAGAAAAGAACAGACTTTAACAAGTGCATGATGCCCGAACAGGGGCTACAAGGAACAGCCCCTGATTGCGTAAATCTCTGTGATGGGAGAGAGAGGTGAAGTGAGAAAATCATTTTATTCAAATTGCAACCAATTTGTGAAATAAAATTATTTTTCAAAACATGATAGCATAATATTAAGGGTTTCGCCTGAAAAAATGCACTTCCCTGCAAAGAGAAGGAGGTTGTTTTTATCAAAATAGATTTGCTGGTATAATAAACAAGGGGAAAAAAGAGCAAACTGGGTTTTCTACATGAAGAGAAATGATCTGACCCTAAAATAGAATTAATAGTGAACATCCTATTGATATATTTTACAAATATGATCTCAGATTTTCAAGATGTAAAGTTCACCTGAGCATTAGATTCTCTTTTCTGCTTTTTCTTAAAATTAAATATTTACTCATACTGACAGCAAATTTCATTACTGGAATTATTTTGTGTCTGTTTAGCCACTTTCTGCTGTGTCAACACGTCTGTTGTGTCAAGTGTCTGTTTATATAGAGAGAGGAGCTCAACTAGCAGCATTTGATTTGTTAAACTGAAAATTCTCATAATCCTTCCGATGACTATTTGTTTCAAAGCTTTTGGTTTTCTATTTCGTCTTTTTACCTGTGAATAACTTATAAAATGAACAATTATTATGCATATTGACTTCTCACTTATTCTGTTCTTAACTGAACAAACTTCAGAGTTTTACTTTTCTTGTTTTTCACCAACCTATTTCTTGTTTTTCACCAACCTACTCTGACATTTTTTTAAGACAAATAAAGCATGGAGGGCAATATTCTGCATGTCTATTCTTCGTATACTAATCTTCCAACAATATTAAATTCGTCCAAGATTAAAAGATTTCAGGAAAGAAAGAATGTTATTTTGCTATACAAACTTATGCCCACTTTGTCTCATGATGAACTTTGGCTTAGACTAAATTCTTGGTTCTTTTGCTCACTTTGAGACCTGTAAATACAGAAATATAGTTAAACTCTCAAAACATTTCATTTCTGTTCTCAGGTCAATGGCACCTACTCTGCTGCCCGGGAGGAGGGAAAGAGATGGACAGGCTTATGAAGGGATATGCTTCTCACCAGCAAATATCTTCAGGGAAAAATCTTTTACTATATTTACTTTGTGGGAAAGAAAGTATTGCAGTTTTATCCGTTAAGTGAAAATCTCAGTCACTTGAGAACGTCTTTTTTTTTCCTTTTTTTTTTATTTTTTATTTTTGCTTAATGCAGCAAAAAGAAACAGAAAAAAAGAAAAAGTGTTTCTTTTTTTTCTGCACTGGAAAAAAAAGAAACACTGTTTTATAGCACAAAATTGGTTTCAGTTTTTCCATGTAAGTGCTGGGCTGAAATGTGTGTTTTTCAATAACCAATCTGTCAGTAGAGCTAATATGAACTAATTATACCATGAAAGTCTTTTTCTGCTTTTAGAGTTAATTAGATTTTCAAACTGAAGCTCAAAAGGTGAATGGGCTTCTTCGTCAGCATGCAGCAGCTGCAGAAAAACTCCAAATTCACAAAGCAAATTGAGCCACAGAAAAGGGTTTAATCCCCCGACTAAATTAAATTTGTCCTTGCAACATTGTCTGACAGGCTCACAGAGCTCACAGGAGAACAGATTACTCTCCTGCTCCCCTCTTCATCGCCTCTCAGGTTTTTCTTCTCTCCTGTAGGAGAATGACATGTTGACCTGCTCTGCCAAGTGACCACAATTTATGCAGACTGACATAGACTGTCACAGACTGTCAGACTGGAAATTGAGGTAAAAAATTAATGTTAATGCTTGTTTGTCCTGTGTGTATTTGTTGACCTGGTACTATTTGGCAATAGAGCCAGGATGTACCCTGCCTTTAACTGCTGGAGATAGCCAATTGCTTTGAGTGGTTGGTAGAAAAAGCATTATATTAGTTTAGATTATTAGATTAGAGTAGAAATACTTTAGTGATGTCCATGGGGAAATTCTCAACATTACAAATTGGACACCTGAATAAACATTAATACAGAAAAGTTGGTAATCATCACATTTAAAACGATGAATAAAATTACTTCCTAACATAAATGAAATCTGCTTACTCCCATTTGGAGAAATGCAGATTAAATGAGAAGTATTGGTATTCCCAAGCTCATGGACTACAAAAGTCATGTCACTTTACATCCACAGAAGAAATAGGATTTGGTATGCAATGGTATCAGGAACCAGTTATCACATGTGCAACGTCAGGTACATCATCTTCTCTATCAAGTCTTCACTCCTGCATTGTCCTATACTCTCTTATCTCTCTGTTCTATTGTGCTTCCTCTGTTTAATCTGCCTTTTACAGATATCCTCTTATCACCAACAAAATATGTAACTCATCTTCGTTCTCACGACGACTCACTCCTGCAGCCGTGCAGTCGCTTTAAAACAAGGGAAGTGGAATCACTGATCCGGTTGACTGATACTGCAAACACATCCAGCACTCTCAGTTCTGGAAAGGATGGAAACTGAAAGAAAAAAAAAACAGAACAAACCAATTTTTATTGTCATTTTTCTGTATTTTTTATGAAAAAATAAAAGTTATGTTTCACCAAATTAATCAAAATGCTTGCTTGTAAAGAGAGCCTTGTGCCACAAAGTAAAAGCCATAACATGTTGATTGACGTTGCGGGGGCGCTGCCTCCTGCTAGATGAGAAACAGAGAACAATCTAAAGGAACAGGAAAGGATTAAATGAACTAAATTATGGGTCCCTGTGGTTTGTATTTTGTGCCTCGCTGTACACCCAGTCTGTACTGTATGATAGTGTCTCCGCTAGCTTAACAGGAGGAGGCATTCAATGAAAGCATGTGTGTATTTAGGTGTTTGTGCATGTTTTGTGTGTTGAAAGGGAAAGAGAAAGCTGCTGGTTTTCATTTGTTATTCCCTTGTAGTTTGAATCGATTTGAGCCATCAGAAATAAAAGCCTTAAAGAATGGTGGAGACAGCTGGAAACAGTGAGACAGGAAGCAGAAAGGAGGAAAAATGTGATTTCCAGTATAAACCAGATTTGTAGAACCTGTCAGCAGACCTTCCTGAGAGAAGCAAGCTGCTTACTGCTCTTAAGAGACTTTGTGTGTCAGGAGACATATTCCTCACAGCTTTCATCATGTGTCTAATAACTTAAACTAGGCTAATTATGGACATAAGTTTGCGTCAAGGCATGTTTATGAAGATAGCACCTTTCACACACAAGGTAAGCCAGACGACATCAAAGTTTCAAATGAATTAAGTCACTCAAAAATGGGCAAGAAGAAGGCTTTGGCACTGATCAGGGGGCAGAAAACAGGCCAGGTACATGAATGGAAAAAGAGACAGGAACCTTCACAGGCTGTGACAAGAATGACAAGTGATCCAATACTGAGTGAAAGCAGAAAAGCAGAGGTAAAGGTGAAAGCAATGAGCTAATTAGAAGGACCAGGAGAGCAACATGGCAGGGGTCACATAAAACAGATGATTCATGGCAACAGATCTGACCAAACTGTGTTTGGTGTGCACTGTGTAGTTTTCAAATCAATGACAGTGAGTAGTAGTATGAATTTATTGAAGTTCTTCCATTCTGAAGCCTTTTTTTATTATTAAAACCTAATAATTGATGGCATCTGAGAAGACATAAAATAATCAACATCCTTATTGAATTCAATGCAACAGAATGTATTACCATAACATCTTTTTCTTATAGTTCCCAAAAGATGTCTTGTGGATGACAGACTTTTCCAAATCCATTAGTCAGTGTAAATGTATAAAATTTCTCTTCAACTGTAAGCCCTTTTGCTGAAACAACTCATGTTGGTGGGAGCATGTTTACTGGTATTTCTGCAGAAAACCCTTTTCTATGTTTGATAGGAGACTGCAGATAATCCTATTCAGTGCCCAAGTTTATCTTCATCTCTGACTGACTGGCATTCAAGAGACTTGGAGCACATAACACATTCTGACATTGTGTTTGCTCGCTTCTCCCTCGCTGTCTGTCCAAATCCCATTGTAAACATGTGAAGGTCTCTTCTGAGAGATTTTTCACTGAATTCACAGGCACCTGTGTGCTGTCACCATGAAGATTGTTTTCTACTGGTTTACCTCTGGCAAAGCCATTATTGCATAAAATTCAAATTATTTTATTTTCAAGTTTTCTTCAGTGCTTCAAAGCTCTGATGTAATAAAAGCTGAAATAAACCTCCTGCCAGAATTTTTTTTAGAATTTCTTATTGTTCATATTGTCATATGTCTTGAAAATTATATAGTGCACTGTGAATTAATTTAGCTGGATGTATACATCACAGGCATTGAAAAACAAATAGTACCATATGTATATACAACTATTTATTTCCCACATCCATCAGTGGGATGAGAAAGTATCACACAGAGTTGATTACAAGAAAAGAAAATGCAGTCAGTGAGAAAAAGAAATCATATTCAGATAGTCGAAGTAAAATGATGGGGTCTCACGATACAAATATTTGCAAAAGAGCAGCATGTTACAGATCTTGTTCTGCCCAAGGAAGACCGATATACTGCAGCGAAGGCAGATAATGCCTAGCTGTTGGCATTCTGCTCCGACTTTCTCTGTGCCAGAGCTGGGGAAATGAAGAACTTTGAAATGTTATCATTCCACTCATGCCAAAAGCATTTTTATACACGCGCGCACACACACTCTGAGACTAGCTTGTGATTTAGGAGGAAGTGTCCATGTTCATTCATGTTCATTCAATAACAAAGTTATTTTTGTTATTTCCAATCCAGTCATTACCTGGATTTCATCTCACAATAGCTGATGAGACTAACAAGCTATTATCATCATAGATTCAGTTCACGCTGGTAAACATTTGGTTATGTTTTTCTGAGACACTTTGAAAGCAGCATCTTGGTTTGAAAAGCACTTTTTTTTCAACTTCAATTGTGTTTTCTCATGCTCACTGCATAAAACCAGGTTATAAGGTCTTCATTGTGTTGATCAGAGAGACAGCCTGGGGAAAGAAACTGTCTTTGTAACAGCAGTTTCTTGAAAATAGCATTGTGTCAACCTAAAGGTAAAAGTTGAAATAGTTTATGTCCAGAATGTTTGGGGTCTGCAGAGATGTAAGCCGTTCCTTTCCAGAAGCTAGACCTGCACAAGTCCTGGATACAGGGAAGGTCAACCATGAAGATCATCTCTACAGGCGTAATTGTTTGCTACAGTCTAGAGCTGTCCTTTTTTATTAATGCTTCCTATGACCCAATGATGGATGTACACAAACATCGTATTCCAAATTATTATGCAAATTGGATTTAAGTGTCATAAAAATTTTATGTTTTGTTGTGCTCTTAAATTGATAGATGTGTTGTTTGTCAGGGCTCTTTGAATCACTATAATTAATTTCAGAGAGCTGGGATATGTAGTTTGTCTAGTGAGCTCCATTAAAGGAAATCTACTTAAGGAGGATGTTCCACATTATTCGGCAGGCCACAGGTTTCAAACAATATGGGAAAAAGAAAGGATCTATTCTATGTAATCTATTGACTTTACAGTTTGACACCTTGAGATTGAGCTCTATCTCTTGAAGAAGCTCCTGAAGACTCCACCTTCAACATGTCATCACAGGGGTGTTTCTCATCATGACACCCATTTTTAGGAGTGATGGATTAAGAACTAGTTCATATTATAATCTCAGCAGATGTGCAGCTTCTTTATTTGCTAATTGCTGCTGCTAGTCTGTTGAAGATATCTGGGGAAGATGTGGGGAAATAGAAGCTCAGCAGGAAACTACTGCTGCAAGGAGGAGTTTTGCGAAGATTAGCAGCACTTTGTGAGAGCAAGCATTTAGGCGCCCCCAAATAGCTGCCATGGGACAAACATGCATGAATTAAAGCAAGAGTATTGACAAGAATGTGGGTTATGAGAGAGTGGGCAAACATAAATAGTCCAGGACTCTAACCTGTGATGGTCAGATAGAGGCTTTACCCCTTCACCACAAAATATACTCTTTACATTTTAAATATTGTATGAAGTAAATAATTAAGTTCAAATATAAGGAAAGTACTTTAAGTTATTGTATTTTCTGTTCAATTTTTATGGAAGTCAGACAGCAGTAACCAGCAGGTTGAACAGGGTAACTGTGAACTTTAGCCAGCTGTCACTCCATTCACTTACGGCTAAAATGATGGCAAGCTGTTAAACGTGGTGCTTCTCCATCCACAAGCCTCCGGCTATTGAAGGAAAGCGCAGATCAAGGACAGAAAATTGGAAAGATGGGAGAGGTAACTAAAACCCAGACATGTGTTATTGCCTGCAGCAGTTTGCAGGTGAAGGAGGGCATATATAAACATTAAGGCCGGAGGGTTGACGTCTGTATAGGTCAGACCCATGAAAATGCAAATGTCGCTAAAGTTTGCTGAAATAATGTTATTAAAAATAGCAGCAAGGTTAAAGAGAGAGAGGATATAAGTGTGATCCTTCCTGGTGGAAGGAGTTTCAAGAAGAAAAATAGGAAATGAAAAAATTAGACTCATTTAGGTTTTAGGATTAGTCAACAGTTCTTAGTAATAGAAAAAATAAAAGCCATGAAATTTTAAAGTTCTGTCTTCTTGATTACCTTATAGTAATACCATATATTAAGATGTATATATGATTATAAAGTAGAATGTCTCATTGCTTTTCACAATCATTGACATGTTTATCCCTCCAGTCAATGAACTGTGTTGTGTGACACCATTGACTCTCCTCTAACTGTGCCATTTCATAGTAATATTGACCTACCCTAAAGGGGAACCAGGAATGGTGTAGCACAGGTCTGTTGTATGGGAAACAGACAGAACAGCACTGAGCTATGTTGTGCCACTTGATCCTTGCAATGAGTTCTGATTTTCTTCAGTAGGGTTGTAGCCTGTAGTGTTTTTCTTTGTTATAATAAAATCGTACAAAAAGTACTCTATGAAAACAACCATGGTGTTTGCAAGAGTCTAGCAATAATTTATCTATTGGGAATTATTAGGTAGAACTTTTTTTTTTTTAGTTTAAAACATTTTGATCTCATTCACCAGTTTTGTCTCACTGTACGTGGAGAAACAAACAGCAATATATAAAAGTAATTGTATAGCGTCATCTCTACAAAGTCCAAACAAATTATGCTCAGACTGAAAAAATTGAAGGAAGCAACAGTAAGCATCCATATTTTTTTCTACAGCTTCTATATTTGTGTAGAAGCCTTTATGCAGTGTTTTCAAGGTCATGAATAGCTGAGGTAATAGAAACAATCAATCCCATTAGTGAAATCAATATTCTCCAATCGACTGCAAAGCTAAAAAATATTCAAATGCCTTTTTTTTTATATATATTTTTCAAAGCTGTACATTTTACAAGGGAAACATGCATAAAGACAGGCAGCAGGAAATGCTCTCATATTTTAGCTTTTGAGTAATGAGCACATGAAAGCAGCAGCAGGAGCAGCAGCTGACTGCCAGAGACGACATAAAACTTTAATGAGGGTTGTTTG